TAAGTTGTTGGCCTCCATGAATTCCTGCACCAATGAGTTCCATGTATTGGATGTACTGCATACATCTTTTTTAAATCTCTTTTACGTGCTGCTTTTGCATTAAACAGACTGGCCCTTGCTCTTGTTTTATGGAACACTCAAAACACAAACCAGTTTTCCTTTTCTTGCCCCAACCCCACATTTATTTATCTCAGGCTACTGGGCTATTGTATATTTTTTAGCCTGCCATTACTGAACGTACTGAGTAGAAGCTGACTATTCCAAACTGTTTCCTTGTGCTTGCCTTGAACTTTTAATCAGGTTTAATTCATTTCATTCAGAAATTTGCCACACATCACTTCTTCTATGGCTTCCAGAGCAGGCATATTTTCTAAGTGAAGTTAATAATTGTCCTGTTTAAAGATGTTTGCAACAGGCCAGAGATTCACATAGGGCATTTTTATACTGAAAAGCTCTTTCATGGAGTTATCCATCCTCACTCCAGATGTCAATTACAAAACTGAAAGATTTTGCCATGAACAGCAATGTTCACTTGATTGAGGAATTTACCTCCTAGGAATAAGAGCCTCATAAAACATAAGCACCAGGAGTAAAGTGAGCTACGTAAGGGGTTTTGCAAAAATTAAACCCATAACTTGACACTAGCAATGGGATATTTCATCTTTTCAATAAGCATTAAAGTTATCTTAGTTTTTATAGCACCATAATCTTTGATTACTCTGATAAATATTTGGACTATGCAAGACATTGTGATGGAACTAATGGTAGCTATAAAAAGACAACCTATTTGTGGACATGAGTAGGATTTGTGCCACCCTCCTTTAGCTGCCCCCTGGACATGACACCAGCACAAAAGTTCTGAGTCTGAGCCAAACTTCTCCACTAGCTCCTAGGATTCATCCTCTACTCTTTGTGTCATCATGCACACACATGATGTGTGGAAAGTGATTTTGAAATGCTCCCAGTCTGATTTGACAATGGTTTCCAGTCATTGTGCACAAGTATTAATGACTGCATAAGGTACAGGCCACTGCAAAATCAGGGTCCCTTCTCTCCATAATAGATGGAATCAGAGGGTGTGTCTACACTGCATTGTAACTTGAAATATGATACTCAATTTGAGCTATGCAAATTGCATATCTTATTTCGATGCTACTTTGAAATAGCTAATTTCATCATTTGGCGCTGTCTACACAGCATCAAATTTTAAATTAAAGCTCTATTCCAAAACGTCCCTTACTCCTTGTAGAATGAGTTTTACAGGGAGGTCAGAATAACGAGCCTGAAATAACGGGCTTGCTGTGAAGATGCAGGATAGCTCCAACCTGAAATAGCATTGGAGTGCAGACATAACCAGATAGAGCATCACTGAATTTTAGGAAAAAGTGTAAATTTGGTCTGAACTCTGGAGGTCAGGCCTTTCTTTTCCTGAATGTGCTGAGTCCTGTTTGTTGAATTTGTGCTCACATTTGCAACTGTGGAGAAAACAACCTCATCTGGCAAAGGTGGTTTTTGCAAATGCGTTTTCTGATATAGCCCATATTTCCTTGGCTTTTCATCCATGGCCAAGACAAAAGAATGGAATAGCTTTACCTACCCAAACAACCCACCCCCGCAAATCATGCACACATATGGCATTTGTGCTGCTGTTTTCCAAAATTAAATACCAGGCCACATTTGCAAATCTGATTCATTTTTGACAGGCAACACAAAAAACCCCAACAGGTTAATATTTATAGGTTTGCTTGTGGCTTTCATGGCACAAGCCCATGTTGGACGTGGTGCAGAGTTGCACCACTCCCAGAAGAGCACCACAGAGGGAGTCTTAGGTGGGTACTATCTCTCCAGCACTGAACCTTATACATAATGATGAAGCAATATGCTCCCTCTTCAGTATGTTAGCCTTGTTCTATGGCTTGGCAGGGCTCTCCCATCCATTATCATTATATTGCTTCTGAATGGATTTTGGGGTGAGCGAGAAAGAACCTGCAGTCCCCATCTTTTTCAGAATTCAAAGACTGCCAGTGTGAATAGTTCTTGTGCAGTCACATAATGAGGGGGAAATCTCACAATGCAATCTTTCCGTTTCTGTGTGATGGGCTGTTTTTACAATCTGGCCCGATACATGGCTCATATATTAACTGGTTACACCTGCAGGGAAATATATTCAGGGCTTGTCTTCATTCACCTCGAGATCAGTGCTCTGGAAATTAATCTCTTGGGCTTTGATTTATCAGGTCTTGTAAGGACCCACTAAATTGATGGCTGATGGCACTCCCATCAACCCTAGTATTCCACCGGGTCACAGGGAGTAAGAAAAGTTTCTCTGGTGCAGTGGGGATGCCGCAGAATTTCAACTTAAGGTACATCAGCTCCACCTACGCTATTCTCATAGCTGGAGTTGCATATCTTAGGTCAACTTTCTCTGGTAGTATAGACCTGGCTGAAGTGTGATCTGGATCCAAAAGACTATTCTGTTAGCTAAACCTACTTCCCATGCAGGGAAGAATGTGTCAACCTCTTAACCTGCTAAATAACAATCAGGTGGAGGCATTAAAAACCAAAACATTTAACCAAAAGGTATTAAAACAATACCACCTATTCCTGTAACCAATCCTGCACAGACAAACCAAGAATAAAATTTCAGAAGAACAATTGAGATCGCATCTATACATTCAAAGGGGTTATCATAATGTGTCTGATTTATGCCTGGTATAATTCCCATAACTTCCATGCACTTGCATCAGAAATGAATCTGAATCAATGAGCTCCATATTAATTCACATTGATATTTTTTTTTAATGTTCTGCTAAACAGTTCTAGTAAACATAATAATTACTTAGGGCTGAATTCAGGGCACAGGGTGGCTGCACTGACGTAAGTGCAGTCACTTCATATGTCACCCAGTGGAATCAAAAACAGGAATTTGCACTTAGCATTTATAGAGTTTTTTCATCTTCAAAGAGCTTCACATACATCAGCTAATTCTAACTTCGCATAATAACTGTTATGCCAACCATTTGGGATAAAAGTACTATAGAAAAGAAACCAATATGATTTATACTATGTGACTCAAGCAGTCAACCTTCTCACCCCCACCATATCTACTAAAAACTTTTATCTGAGCATAATGCCATAGGGTATGTCTACTCAGCAAAGTTATTTCGAAATAACAGCTGTTATTTTGAAATAACTTTCCTAACATCTACACAAGCCAACCGCTATTTTGAAATTAATTCGAAATAGCAGAGGGCTTATTTCAAAATTGGTAAACCTCATTCCATGAAGAATAGAGCCAATTTCGAAATTTCTATTTTGAAATAAGTGCTGTGTAGATGCCTCCAGCCCTTTTCAGGGTGCCCTGCTGGCCACAAGGTAACTTCTGACCTGATGCCCTGCTGGAACCAGTTCTGGCTGGCCTTAAATGCGATTCAGTGTCCAATCAGTGTGGACACGCTATTTCAAAATGCATTTTGTGTGTGGATGCGTTATTTCGAAATGAGATATTTCAAAATAACTATTTCAAAATTAGATGTTTTGAACTAACGCTGTAGTGTAGACATACCCATATTGTACTTTACCCAACCTCTAAGACCTTTTGCCGTATTGAGGAGTTAAATTCATGTATACAATATCATGCATACATACAATGTTCTATACAGGTCTTACATGACGACAATCCTTGAAACACACAGATTGTTATAATTGTTCCCATTTTATCAATGAGGAAACTGATGCATTGAGTAAGAGATTTGTCCAAGATTAGAGCTGAGCATATTTTCTTGGACAAATAGTTTATTTGTTAAAAATAATGCAGTTTGCAGTTGACTGAAGCTATTTGTGATTTTTGGTTGCAGTCAAATAGTTTTGGCCAACAATCCTCGCTCAGATTTTTTTTTTTAAATCCAAAATGTTTTGTTACATGTTGAAAATAAAACACTTTGACCTTTCATTTTAAAAAAACCAGCTTTTTTTTTGGAAATTTAGCTCAATTTATTTTAAAAAACAAAACTAGAAGGCTAAAACACAGCCCTTCGCCCCCCCGCCCCCCCACAAAAAACCCAGCAGTGAAAGGGTTTGAATTGAATAAAATATTTTGTTTGACCTGAGATGAATTGAGGGGGGAAATGGAAATGAAAACTTCCATTTCAGGTCGATAGAAATTTAATTTTATTTCCAGATTTTTTTGGCTCAACCGCTGAACTGAGAAATCAATTATTTTCTCAGCTCTGCCTACGACCATTAGAGCAAGCCCAGGGCAGATCCAACATTAGAACTCTGAAGTTCTTGTCCTTCAGTCACATCACCTTTCAAGCATTGGTTTTGATTTGTAACCCTTCAAAATTAAATTGTACACTCGTAAGATTTCTTTTTCTTTTTAGAGATTCCTATTCAGAAGCATCAAAGAGAGACAATCCATTGAAAGTTATCCCAAGACATCAACTCCCGTTCTCTTTTTTTGCTTTGCAGTTCTCCAGACTATCAATCTTAGATGTCTAAAAACTCAGAATCTTGAATAAATTCCCTGTATACGGTTGCTTACGCACTTTATGTGGGGGAATAGATTGAAGCAGACAGTACTCATTTTCATGGTGACCCAGCATTGCCACTGTTACAAGAACACCTTTAATCTCCTCTTTCTGTTTTTGAATAGAATTCAGGTGGGGGAGAGATGAAGGAAAATGATTCACAAATCTGTTACTACTGCCCATGCTTGTCAGTTTATTATAGCTCAGCTTTGATGTTCTCTGAATCTTCCTATATTTGCAATCACCTACTAATTTGACAACCTGGCATTTCCTAGCCTTTTTCTGCCTGTAAAATTATTTTACCCCCATTCACATGGATACTTTTCAAAACATTTAGATGCCACACTGTGGACTGTGCAAATTAATGTCTTCTCCCTTAGATTTTCTTATGAAGAAGCACAAAAAATTCACTTCCAAGAACCTAGCTAAGTACCGCTTCACTATAACTACTTGGAGTTTAGGAAAACTTACAAAATAAACTGATGAGTGAAAAGAGAAGGATTAGGGTCATGTTGATATGAAGGGCATCAGCTGCACTGCAGTCCATTTTGGATTTCTTGCAGGAACACACTTGTACTTTCAGTTCGGTATTGTTAGTCAGAGGTGGTTTTCCAGAATCTGTCACCAAGATTGGGATGTTGTAATTGGCTTTCTTCAGGTTTTGAAGCAGGCTGACCTGGGCATGAGTGTCTGCAAAGAATAAGGAGGTAACAGTTAGGCAGCTGCAGAACGGGGGCAAGAAGGGGGGAGATAAAAGCTCACCAGGATGCCACACCACACGTACCATATAATAATCTAGAGGAAAATACTCTACATAGGCTGGAAAGATTTGTTGGTAAACATCCATTTTGCAAACCCACCAAAAAGCTATTTCCATCAATAATAAGAAAAATGTACAGATGTGCAGCGTATGAAAATGCTTTTTCAGAACTGATGTGAGTGTAATATAAGGATACTGACTCTGAAAAACACAATATACAATTATAAATTGCTTTATTAACTTTTCAAATTTCAGTCTCTACCTCCATTAAACAACTATGGCTTGACCCCCCCTCCTTGCACACCTCTTCCCTGTACAACTATGAATTCAATTTAAACACGGATAATGTAAAAAAAGGGCTGAAACCCCATATTTCTGTGCACCAGTGAAAATTAAAATTAAATAGTTTTAATTCTGTGCCAAAAAACTAAACTCCCTCTCCAAAATAATTCTGTGCACAAAATTGTAAAATTGTGCAAAATTCTGCAAATTTGATTTGTCAATAAATATATGCAGAGGCTCCAGCCTGGCAGTGGAGTGTAAAGGACACTGCTTCCACACAAGTGGGAGATCACCCTCCAGGTCCTCCTTGAACACCCCTGGTCTGGGACTTGGTGAAGAGGCTGATTCTGACACTGTGCAAGAGCCAGGCCAGCCATAGAAACACTCTGGGGTCCTGTTATTCTGCACCAAGCACACAAGGTGAGAGCAGGCAGGCTCTGTCCAGCAGGATTGACGTGTAGAGGGGTGTAGTGTTAGGCTGAGGGTTCTGTATGGGGCTATTTGGTGAGGGGGGGGGGGCGGGGCG